AAAAAATTTTTTTTCAGAAAAAAATGTTCGATTTTGCAATTTCAAAAAAAAACCATATACTCAAAGATCTGGAGGGTCATGAGATTTCTTCTCAAGGTAATTAATCATTCCACAGAACTTACTGATTGATCTGTACCGTCATCTCTAGCATCTGATACACTGTTTTCCATGACACTGGGAAGTTCCTACCATCAGAGTTAAAACTGTGGGGTCCCTTCTAGGCATGGTTGCATGTAGCAATGTGAGAGTTCCATGTTTTAGGCACCTTCGCTCTGGATCGGTGAATGAGAGAGAAGGTGGACATGAGCTGTAACCAGATCACCCCTCCTTGCTCCTGCAGTGGCTCAGGAAACTTCTCTAATGAAGAGCCTTAACTGGGTTTCCACTCTGCCCTGTTCCCTAGGCTCCCTCCTCCGACCTCCCTTCAAAGTTTCTGTGTTCACATGCATACAAGTCGTGGGCTATGTGCAGAAGTGTCAGAAGCAGGGTGGCCTTCTCGGAGCCTCTAAACATCCTCCTCATCCTCCTCAAGTGTGTGCTAATCCCCTCACCCACAGACAGCTTCCCTGCAAGGCCACATCTCTGTCATGCCTTTGCATTCCCAGAATCGGGTCACACAAGGGATTGGAAAGCTTTTGTTTGGTGCATCCTTACAAGAGTTTCTTCCTGAGTGAGCAGTTTCAGTATGCGCTTTCCTGGTATTTCCTGAGATGTAAGTACTTTCATGGTCCCATTGTCATCTAAGCATCATGGAATCTGAACTGCTGAGCAAAAAGATGCTTTGTTGTAAGAGACGTTGTAAGAAATGTAGAGCAATCCATTGCCGTCTCACCAAGTAAAACCAAACCAGATCAAGAACTGTGCCACATTTCTCTCTAGCGCCTCCTTTGGTCTTAAAACATACAAAATGTTAGCTGATAGACTTATTGGGAAATATTTTATTTACCTTAAATGACATGTGGAGCATCGTGACTTCTTCATGACCGAAGAAGCCAAGGCTTTGATTAAAGCTATTTCCTGCACCACTATGTGGAACCCCAAAGTATATCTTCTAAATTGTGAAACAAACATAACATGATCTGCCTCTGTTGATCATATTCAATCATATTCAGGGATCATATTCAAGGATTAAAGCTCTGTGGTCAACAGAGCTTTACCTTCAAAAGAAAGGAATATATTTTTTAAACAATTTTTCAAATTGTTCCCATACATGAATACACTTTCTCGGATGCATACGCTTTTGAAATAGCTCCCATCCTGCACGTGCTCTTGTAAGACTGCCCCTTCCCTATCCTTGCCACCACTTGAGAGAGGATTTAAGGGAAATGCACAAATTCCCATGGAGACATTTTCTCCTTCTACCCTGACACCTGCCCCTTACCTACCATGCCATACTCCCACCTTTCTCTGAGGAGGATTTATGCCTTCCACCCCTCATCACCTCAGTCACCACAACTGCATCGCTCAAGACTCTTGGGCCATCTGTTGTTACTGGACCATTAGCATTTAAAGATTCAGGATAGCCAGTAATCTGCCCCAGTAACCCACCTTCCTTTCACCTGCTTCCCATCCCGTTGCCCCTTTAGCCCATGGTCTGCTATCAGCAAAATCCCCTGTATGCTTTGCCCACCGCTTCTTCTTGCTCTGACACTGGGATATCCCTGAACACACGCTCCCCACACCCGCCACCCTGCTGCCCTCTCAAGTGGTGGCTGTTTCATTTGCCACACCCCTCCCCAAGGAAAAAACCAGCATCTGTGAAGTACCCTCACCCCAGCAGCCTGTGACCCTTTTAGGATCTGCAGCCACCAACTAGTTTTCATTCTCCATCTCCTCAACATTTACACTTTCCTTTGTCCCAGGCATAGATTCCATGGGCTTCCATGACATTCTGTTTGCACTCCCTGTCTCCTTCCAGGTTGCCTTCCTCACCACCCCCATCCAATTCAATCAACTCCACACCTGCCACAGGGCAGCTGAATTTGGCTGGAGAAAAATAAGGAACGATGCGAACCTGTGGTCTCATTGTAAATTCATTGCCACGTGCCTTAAGTCGCCTCTCAGCATTCTGGCCTCCAGACCGCCTGGCCATGGTCATCTTGCCCCCCACTTACCTTAAGAACCATTTCACACACCTTCCCTCCTTCGTCTCTTTTGTCCCCCTCCTCCCTTTTGTTCTCTAAGCTCCAGCCCTTCCTCACACTCCGCTGATGACCTCACTTCTCACCCCACCCAGAGAACATGCAAGAAAACATGAGAGAATGTCCTTAGCCTCCCGCCACCAAATCTACAGCCTCCTTGCTGCATCTGTGACCACACAACCTGGCTGTCCTCCTCCTATTCCATGGCGCACGAGCCCATTGTTCCCAAATCCTCTCCACGCTCCTCCCTGAAATTCCCTGCAGCTTCTCGCTTCCTCTGTGGTATCAGGCTCTTTCCTCCTCTCTGTTGAGTCACTCCCAAGGAAAGAATGAAATGCTCAGTATCTCCCAGGTGATCTATGAAAATACCTCTTTGTCACTCAAGTCTCTCCAAGCCCCATTTCTCCACTCCCCTTAATAATAAAACTTTGTCAAAAGTGGTCTGGGCTCACCCTTCTCCTTCATCAATTCTCATTATCTGTGGAGCCCACTCCAGTTAGATGTTTGCCAACCTGACCAAAGAAAGTACTTTTGCCCCAGTCATAATGGCTTCCATGTTCCCCAGGCCAGTGGCCAGTTGCTGGTCCTGCCTCTCATCTGGTTGGTCTTCTCCTTTACCCATCAGCTTTCCTAATCTTGCCTGATCTCATACCTTCTTGGTCCTCCTCCCAGCTCTCTCTGTCCCTCCTCAGGCTCCTCACACCCTCTAAATACTAGAGTATCCCAGAACTCATTCCTGTGTCCCCTGTTTTCTTCCTTTATCTGCATTCACATTTCTATCCATTCTCCTTGTTTCAAATAACATCTCTATGCTCAACTCCAAAATTTTATCTCCAGCCCTGAAATCGCTCTTGAAACCCTGATTTCCAGATTCTGCTTTATTCTGTATCTTCTCCTTCATGTCCAACAGGCATCTCTACCCAACTTGTCCCAAATGGCAGTTGGTTTCAACACCTCAAGCTACTTCTCTCCCAGTATTCCTTGTCTCAGTAAATAGCACTTCCAGTACCCTATTGTTCATACCAGGAACACTGGGGTAAAGCTTGACTCCTCTCGCCTGCACCCAATAGCCAGGTCATCAGCAAACCCTCCAACACAGATGCCATATCTGCCCATTGCCCATCATCTGCTGCTATCCAAGCCAGGGTTGTGTCTCCCTCGTCCAACGGATAGTTTCTTCCTTGGTCTCCCTGCTTCTGTTCTACTCTCCCCAAACTGTTCTAGTCACTCCTAAGTCTTCTTATCTTTCTGGAGCCTCTTGATCACTCCTCAGCCACAGGGACTTCTGGTGGCTCTCACATGCGCTTAGCCCACGTCCACCCGCGTTCCCATCTATTCTTCCCGTGGCTTGGCAGCCCCAGCCTGCGTCTTCGGTACCTGGCACCTTATCATCCTCCAGGTCCCTGCTGCAATGCTAAGTGGTCCCAGAGCAACACACATGCCATAACCATATCCCATAAACTAGCCACACCAGCATGTCCACACTCCACGCTCCTTGATCCCCTAACCTTGCTTTATGTCTCCCTTCAAATACTTACAAGTGTGCCACATTTCAGTGTTAATATTTCTTGACTTGCTTCGTGTTTGACTTAGGTGTCCCATTAACTGTCTAAGGCTGACTAAAATGGGATAATAGTATCCAGCCTATGAGATTGTTGAGAAAGTTTTGCCTCGTGGCAAAGGTAGTGCTAGGTAAGCGCTAGATAATAGCTTTTAAAATAGCATACTTCTCACCTTGGCTTTTTCCTACCAGCCAAACAGAATAGGAACAAGAATGAGATAAACAAAGACAGAAATACTGAAATGAGTATGAATTTTATTCTTCATTAACTTCCGTCTATTTACGCTTGCAACGATTCTTTATAGAACATTGAGTCCCTTAAAAATCTAAATATAATCAGAAACAGAAAAAGCCAAAAGAGTTGAAGTGGTTGCCTCTATGAAGCAGGAGTGGGGGTGAGGCAGGTGTCTGCTTTTCTTTGTTGTAGTTTTAGGTCCCTTTGACATATGACTTCGATGCAAATGAAGTTGAATTACAAAAGAGGAAACACTGGGAGGATATACATGAACATGAGTTCTTGCTGGGGTGAAGGGAGGGTGGAACTCCTGGCAATTTTTTTTCTTCTTTATGCTTTCTAAATTCACAAAATATGATGTACAATATGTTTATTTGGCTTTTATAATGAAAAAATGGTACATGTGCATTTTTGTATATTAACTGAAGGCTTAATGGAAGACTTAATTGGTAGGACACATTTCGAATATGCTCTAAAGTGAACAATATAGTTCCTGGGTTAAGCCAGAGAACATACCCATCTGGGCGTGAAGACACAGTGACGGTCACGCTAAAGGCCTTGAGCAGGTGGGGCCGGGGCATTGGCGGCCAAGGAGGTTGGAAGCAAAAATGGGGGATCACCTGGCAGGGAAGATGCTGCTTGGCATTGTGATTGCAAACTGATTGGTCCTCAGGGATAAAAAGCGTAAATACTTTTGGAAGACTTCAAGGCAGTTGAAAAGAGGGCCAGACAGAGCTGGAAGCAGGTAGGTAAAGATGAGACAGTTTCAGGGTCATCTAACATTTTTAGCATCATGTTTTCGTTCAAATCTTCTGGCCATTTATTCGACGTTTGGGAAGGAAAGCAGGCCCGCCCCATGTCAGGCTGTCTGGAGGGAGCAAGTTGGGTCTCTGTTCACACTTGTCTCTGTGAACCTTGATGATCGATCGAGCAGGGCTCAGTGATCTCTTTTGACAGACTGCAGAAATGCTTTGCAAAATCTAGCGTTTGGAACGTCGCAATGTCAGGTGATGAAGAATCACTCCACCTTCCCCACTTAATGGGAGCATGCTGTCTGTTGCAGGACGGATGGTCGCAGTATCACTTTGTAGCCTCATCCTCAACCATCGAGAGGGATCGGCAAAGGCCCTACTCTTCCTCCCGCACGCCTTCCATCTCCCCTGTGCGTGTGTCTCCCAACAACCGCTCAGGTAAGCGATGCCTGTAGCCAGCCAGGCCTGCTGTCCCTTGGCCCCAGAGCCCTCCTTCCCACCCCTTAGGTGACTCCCACAGGAGGAGAGCTGTCCGACTTGGACATTTGCTAGAAGTCTCAAATGAGTCTGTTTTCTTTCATAGCAGTGGTGACTGTGTTGTGTTTACACAGACTCAGAGCAAATCTCTCAAACAGATTTCAAAATATCTCTAATAGGTGTTAGACCTGCATTTAGTCAGCAGCAAGAATAAAGACAGCTGTCAGATGTTTGCAAATCAGGGTTTTCTATGCACCTTTTTCCAACGTGGAATAGTTTGAGTAACATTGTCTTGATTATCACTGGAATAACAGAGCAGTGGAGAAAGGGCATGCTCTTTCTTGCTCTAGAGTGACATACATTTGAATATCCCATTGAGGGTCTCATTACCACCCCATATCTGATTAGCCTGTTGTTATTACCTTTAAACCAGCTGATAAATGATAAAGTCTCGTTACGAAGCGAAACCGTAACTTTTAAGTCACTCGGTCTAATTTTCTTTCTGGTTTTGTCACATTGCTATTGCTTACATTTTGATTTTTTTTTTTTAACGTTTATTTATTTTTTGGGGACAGAGAGAGACAGAGCATGAACGGGGGAGGGGCAGAGAGAGAGGGAGACACAGAATCAGAAACAGGCTCCAGGCTCTGAGCCATCAGCCCAGAGCCCGACGCGGGGCTCGAACTCACGGACCGCGAGATCGTGACCTGGCTGAAGTCGGAGGCTTAACCGACTGCGCCACCCAGGCGCCCCTGCTATTGCTTACATTTTGAACTAACTGTTCTTATTTACTTATAAAGACACTTTATACCCTTTTACAATCACATTATATACTGCCCAAGATTAAGGAAAAAATTAAAGGCAAAATAGGAGCACATCGTTTACTATATAAGTGACATAGTCTTTATTGTTTTTATTCACAGTGTAAGTTTGAATTTTTTATTTCTGCGTTTTGGGTTTTGTTGTAAGAAGGAAGCATGGATAAATAATCCTATCTATATGTGTGCACGTGCGCGCGCGCACACACACACACACACACACACACACAGCTATATAGGCTTTTATTTAAGAGTGTCTCCTTGCTCTTTGCTGCCCTGGCCCTGGTGAGGAGCTATGAGACCTGCATCTCGGAGGGCATGGTAGAAGGGCACTCCCCTGCCCTTGAGATCACTTGCCATAAAACTTTACACTGCACTTTACTGTCAGAATGATGAGGAAAATCAGACATGAATGGGGAATATTTGACTGAAATAAATCACTCTCTCCCAACCCCATGAAAGCTTCTATTTTTAGTGTGATGTTACTGCTGCTAACGTTTAGTCCCCCACTAGATGAGAATCAGAAACCTCCGTGTAACTGGAGAAACTTCCACCTGCCTCAGAAGCACAGGGGTGGCCTTTTACATGTCCTACCTCCATACGTCCTTGTTTTTATGTTTTGTTTATTTTTTGAGAGAGGGGGGGGAAACGGGTAGAAAGAGAGGGGGACAGAGGATCCAACGTGGGCTCTGTGCTGACAGCAGAAAGCCCGACACGGAGCTCGAACCCATGAGCCCTGAGATCATGACCTGAGCCTCAGTCAGATGCTCAACCGACTGAGCCACCCAGGCACTCCTTACCTCCATATGTCTTAGAAAGATAAAGACCAGTGAGTCTGAGAAGCACGAGGATGGGTTCTTTCTAAAGCCCTAACTATGAAGAGCCCCTCATTGTTAGGAAGATGCGAAACGGCGTAATGGATTGGAAGACGCCTGGGAGGAGAAGCGATGGCTTATCAAGACGCCATCCCAGCCATTCAGCTAGGCCGCCACCCGGTATTTCCTCGTGAGGCACATTGAAGACATCTAGCAAACACTTGTTGGCGTGATTGGATTTTTCCAGGAGTACGATCTTAGTTTCCTAGCGACTCAGACTAGTGTGTGAGGTCTTGAGATAATTACACACTTGACGTAGCTTAATAAACCCACCATCTGCACACTATTAGGTGCTAATATTGAGAACTTTGGTCAAGAGGCTCCAAAATATTGTCCCTTCGTGGTTTCCTGGCAGTGACTCATAAAAGGCCAGCCTTTATGCAGGAAGACCTAGAAACGAAGGAGCAAGGGCAGGGAAAGGACTTTCCCGGGAGAGGACAACAGAGAACTGAAGATAAGAGAGGGGCAGAGGTGGAGGAGATGAGGGAGACACAGTGGCCGATGTTCTGAGAACACCCAGGAACTGGATACACACAGCCCAGCCACGTTATGTAGAGCAAACACCATTTTCTTCCCTGTCTCCCCAATAGACTTAACACCCAGAGATCCAGAGATTCCGATCCAACAGGTTCTGGGTGGGGTTCAAGTATCACTATATTTTTATAGTTTATTTATTTTGAGAGAGAGAGAGAGAGAATGAGAACATGAGCGGGGAAGAGGCAGAGCCAGAGGGAGAGAGAGAATCCCAAGCAGGCTCCACACCATCAGCGCAGAGCCCAGTGTAGGGCTCGGTCTCACGAACCCTGAGATCATGACCTGAGCTGAAATCAAGAGTCAGATGTGTAACCAACCGAGCCAGCCACCCAGGCGCCCCTCAAGTACCAGTATTTTTGAAAGTATTCCAAGGATTTAGTTCTAATGGGAGGCCAGGATTGAGAACCTCTCGGGGTTTTGAGAGCTGAGCAGGGAGCCTCAATTTTGTTTGGATAGGTTTGAGAAGCAGGCAGGGCGCCTCTCGGGAAAGGATGGGGGCAACGGCCCCATCTGTTTCTCTCCTCAGCCTTTGGCTGTGATGTCTGCTAAGCACTCTGCCTCTGACACCGGTTTATTTGCATGTCTGTTTCCTGACCTCCTCGAGTTCAGAAAGTGACATGATTCAGGTTTCTGTTCCCAGTGTCTAGCGTAGGGATTTGCCCATAGGAGATACTAAGCTTGATGAAATGCACCAAGCGGCTCAGACACGGAAAAGAAAAGGACATTGAGGGAACAGGCAGGCCCGGTGGGCTGGAGCTGAGGGATCCTGCAGAGGGTGTGAATGATAAGCTGAAAGATATACTGAGGATTGACTGGAAGGGGCTTGGATACTACTGGCAAAGAGGGCTTTATCCAAAAAAATCAAGAGTTCCCCAGAGCTCCCCTAGCCTTAATAATCACCAGGTATGCTTGTTAAGTATGGACTCCTAGACCCACCCCCTGAAAATTCATATTCAGAAGGTCTGGGGTGGGGTCCTGGAATCCCTGGATTCTAGATGAGTCTTAAGGTGAAACAAGTTTAAGAAGCACTGTCCTCGGGCATGGAGGCTGGGGACAGATCTGGTACAGAAGAGTACCACACCCGAGCTCTACTGAGATAGGGGCAATTGTCTAAGCTCTAGACGCCAAGTGGTGTCACTGAGGAGCACAGACAGCGGCTGCCTCACTGCCACCCACACACTCAGACCTGCACTCCTTCCGACCCATCTCGGCACCCATAGGGCTGTTCACCTGCTGCCGACCGATCCATTCTATCTTCTAAGAAATCTAGACCTCTTTCTGTTTGCTTCCCTACCTCCAAGGTTAGTCTCTCCTCTATTCTGAGGGCACTTTAAAAACTCGAGGACTTCCCAGAGGGATCCTTTAATTACGACCCATTGTTTTAAATATGGAGACCCAAAGAGATGACAGGGCTCACTCCCTGGGTCCGGGGTGCAAGGCGTAGGTAGGAGATTGCTCGGGGCATTCATCAAGGATGTCTTTGCGCACCCCTGCCCCAGCCCCCTCCACAGGCTGATCTGTGCAAGTTGGGTCACGCCAGCCCCACAGAACATCCTAGTTGCTTCCTCTGGCTTCCTTTAGGGCAGTCTCTGAGTCACGTGGCGTTTAAGTAAAACCGCATTTATTTTAATCAGAGATTCTTCAGCATCAGTACCAGCGCCTCTGAAACACCTGATTTTTAAAAAGGAAGAAAAGAAGGAAGAGGGGAAGGGAAGGAGAGAGAGAGGGAGGGGTAGGGAAGGAAAAGAGAAGAGAGGAGACAGAAAACAAGCCTGATCTCATCTGAAAACTGTCCTGTGCACCTTAGGTGGGTCATGTCCCCATCAGGATGTCTTTTAAGAAAGATGGCCTCAGGAGATCGCCTTTAATTTCCTGCCCCCAAGCTGCATGCTCCCATAACTATAAAGCACCGAATGACAAGGACAAGGGGAAGGGGTAAGACAAGAGCCAAAAGAACACAAATCAGCAGGTCCACGCACACATATTGCTTCAGGTTGAGTCACATGTCTTCAGGACCTTAGCTGTTGGTGTGGAAAGCTATCCGTGCTGCAGAATGAGACACACAAAGTCTTCCTTTTGATTTCTTTATGTAGCAAGTGCCCCAGCTTCACCTCGGGAAATGATCAGCCTCAAGGAAAGGAAAACAGACTATGAATCCACTGGGAGCAATGCCACTTACCACGGGACTAAAGGAGAACACACTTCCAGGAAAGACACCATGACAGGTGAGCTCAGCTTCTTGCGTATTCTCCTCAGAGCCGGTGGCTTGATCCGGGACAGGGCCAGGCCGGGAGACTTCAAACCATGCTTGACAGCTCAGCAGGACTTAGCAGCTAGAGGGTCACTTGAGAGCTTGACAGCACGGATTCTCAGGAAGTGGGGACGAGATTAAGCCAGAGGAATATAACTGAGCCTCTTATACCTGAAAATGACTTATACCTGAAAATAACTAAGAGAAAATGTTCTCTATGCACATTGTATTCTCATTCTTCACCTACCCCTTTCCTTCTCATCTGCTCATCTCGTAACATTCCCTCAAATGAGAGAGAGGAGTCACCATAGATTTTCTTCTTGACTGACATAATCCAGAGTGGAGAGGACCCAAGATGGTGGGTGCACTATGCTTTGCTATTCTCAACAGAAGGAAGGGAAAGTGGATAAGAAAAGAGGGGGAAGGGAGGGGGGCGGTAAAGAAAGAGATTTCAATGAAACCCTCAGAACTCCTGTGGAGACATTTTCTCTTCTTGACATGAAACCAATCTCTTATCGTGACAAACTCCTAAGAAGATTCATTAAAACCAATAATCACACTTTCTATACGGAGGCATTGATCTTTTCTGCTCTTTATCCCTCACTACCCCAATCATACCCATTGCCTTTCCTTTCTCATCAGCTGGGACCCCATCAAGGCAAAAATTGGTGCCCAGCACCACCCATCCAGCATGTGCTGCTTGGCCTTTCTCATGACCAGCCTTGACCTTAACTCCCCTTCTGCTCTGAACAACTCTCCTTGGGGCAGTGTCACTGTTCCCATTCCTCATCCCCTCCAGGCTCTCCACACACTCCTCCCTGTGCTGGTTTTCCCCTCCTCCAAGAGACAGGACTTGGAGGTTCTGCCATAGAGGAGGTTGTGCCTGGAAAGCAGAGCTTCCAGAGCCATCGGGATCTCTAACAGGGATTCCACACCCTTTTTTTGCCACGTGGACATAGAGACGAATCCCTCTTGAAAATAGGCTGTGAGGAACATGGCCGGATGAGGCCATTCACAAAACTGGGGTATAAAGGGAAGAATCCTAAAGAGACATTGAGAACTTCTTATCAAGAGGATCTCCAAAGTGTGAGTTTCTCAGATATTATTTAGGTGTAGACCTGCAGGGAAGCAGAAGAGACAAATTGGATGATTTATTAAGGTGTCTTCCAGACCCAGGCCATCTAAGATAAATCTTTCTAATGGTAAGTGCACTTACCCCAGAGGCAGTGTTTTCCATGGTAACCGTGCATGACTGCAAAAAAGAAAAGCACAGTAAACAGATGCTCCCGATGCAAACTCGCAGGTCAGCACTCTGCCTCCACGTACAGTCCCTACCAGGGAACGTCTCAGCCTAATGCCTGAACTCGTTATGCAGGATATACCTTCTTATTCTTACTACGTGCTGCTTTCCCCCCTTAAATGTTGTCCCAGTTGTAGACGAGCATGAACAAAGAAAGCTGTGAATCTGAATGCCGAGTCCCTAGAGCCAACGCATTCAGCAGAGAGTCTTATTTGTACCAATTACTCCAGAGTAGTGACACCAAATCCACCTGCCCCATTCGTTTTGTGGTTCTTATTGCCCTAGGTGGCCACATCACTGGCTGTCTGAGATGACCCATTGAGATTATAATTACAAGAATAATTGTGAAACTGTATTGTTATTTAATTTTTCTTTCTTGCCCAGTAGAATTATTCAAAAGGCTTTTTTTTTAATGTTCATTTATTTATTTTGAGAGAGAAAGAGAGAGCTTACGAGCAGGGAAAGAGCAGAGGGAGAGGGAGAGAGCAAGAATCCCAAGCAGACTCCGTGCTGTCAGTTCAGAGCCCGATGTAGGGCTCCACCTCACGACCTGTGAGATCATGACCTGAGCCGAAATCAAGAGTCAGACACTCAACCAACTGAGCCACTCAGGCACCCCTCACAAGGCTTTTAAATGTGGGTGTTTTTATGTTGAAATATTTCCAATGGTACATAATCATGCCCTGCACACATAGTAAAATAAACAATAAAATCTAACATGTTTCCAGATGTTTAATCTTCCTAGAAAATGGCAGGGAGCTTGGTAATTCCAGTATTGAGGTATATGTAATTTTTCAAACCTGTTTAAGAGGCTTAACCATCTTTGCTCTAATGTACTTTAAACAATTCAAAAATATGCTATCGGTCATTTAGCACGCCTAGAAGAGCAGAAGTCTTTATTGAACAATACGTTTATACAGGATGTTGCCTTTAAGCCGAGTTCTATGTAAAAGTTAGTTGCTGTTATCTACAGTGATGGTAGTGGTGGTGGAGTTGCTAGTGGAGGTGATGATGGGGGTGGAGGTGATGACGGTAGTAGAGGAGGTAGAGGTGAAGTTGATGGTAGTGGAAATACGGTAGTGATGGTGGAGGCGGTGATGGTGATGGTGGAGGTGGTGATGGAAGAGGTGGTGATGGAGGAGGCAATGATGGTGGTGATGGTGGTGATGGTGGGATGGAGGTGTTGATGATAGAGGCGGTGATGGTGGTAACACAGGAGATGGTAATCAGTAGGTGGAGGTGGAGGAGGTGATGGTGGAGGTGATAATGGTGGAGGTGGAGGAGGTGGTGATGGAGGAGGTGATGATGGAAGGATGGAAAAGGCGGTGATGGAGGGTGCAATGATGGTGATGGTGGAGGGGGTGATGATAGAGGCAGTGACGGTGACGACACAGGAGATGGCGATGGCAGAGATGGTGATGGTGATGGAGGAGGTGGAAGAGGTGATGGTGAAGGTGGTGACGGAGGAGGTGGTGGAAGGAGGAGGCATTTACTTAACCACCTTCCACAGTGGCATGAGTGAGTCCCCAGCCAAGCCAGGTGGGAGCCAAGGTTTCATATAAGAATGGAGAGGACGAATGGCCAGCCCCTGTTCTACAGCACTTTGCTTGTGCCCATCATTTCAGTGTTCACCTGCAGGTCACATCTCTTGTGACCGCCACATCAAGAGCAATACCTTTTCTCATTCACAAATATCCAGGGGACACTTACAGTATAGTACCTTGAAAAATATCTGAAGAACTGCCATCTCCCTTGTTTCTAAGACATCAGAGCATGTCCTACCATTTCCCCCAAAGAGAACACTCCCTCCACCTTGGGAAAACCATGGGAAGTTTCACGCTCAAAATGCAGCATGGGACAGCTTAAAGTGAAGCAGGCCCTTGCCTGGGCTCAAAATCTCCTCTGCTGAGCCCTTAGAAATGAAGATCCTTCGAGGTTTTTGTGCCAGCCTCCCCCCACCCACCTCTTCTGGATTCATTATCGAGCTGAGATGGAGTCTTTTGAAATGTCTCCTCCCTTAGTGTTCTTTTGCCACCGAGGAGCCTGCAGAAAGCCAATGTCAGCTCTTCATTCAGGCATGCAGAACGGTTATAGCTATTTCTTGAGGTCATGATTCCCTAGGAACGTTACGTGTTCAGAAGCATGCATTAGAGGAGGGCTGTGTGATCCCAGCAGCTGCATGGCCTGACTTTAAAATTCACCCAGGGGATTTTGCCCTCCCATCTGAGCTTCCCAAATGCCTTTACATCAAACGGCCCAGCCTGTTTTTGTCAGTGTCTCTCTTACGCCCTTTTAAAGCCATTCTAATCTTCAATATGTTGATTCAGTTGGAAATCGGGGCCCATACAGAGGAAGAAAGGCATTTCTTCATGAGTGTGCTCTTGGGTCAGACATACAAGGGCAGAGCATCCATGAAGACATCTGCTTCATGTGTCTGCAGAAGCTACAAGTTCAATCTCAGCTACACAGCCTCCTATAAACAGGTGAAGTGGACCAAAGAGCAGGAGGAAAGAACTTCCAGTAGGAACATCTTTAGCCCAGAAGCCACAACCATGACAGGAAGGGGGAGCAAGTCAAGTACGAGTGCATGATCCCCCCAATTAAAAAATGCATTTTGTTCTGAGTCCCAGAAAAACAAAATTTCACCTTGATGTGACATTTTCCATCAGCAAACCATAGCTCTGAGGGCCTCTTTTCTCAGGGTTACTCATTCATTCGTTCACTCCGCAAATAATGCTCGCTCCAGGAGCATCCACTGAGTTCAAGCACTGTCCCAGACGTGGGGATACGGATTTCTGGCCTCATGGAGCAGTGAAGGGAGGTGATACACAAGGAAGACACCAGAGCAAGCTCACCCACAAGCTAGGACCACATGGTGTTGAGTGTGATGGAGAAAATTAACAGGTTCAGAAGCCACAGGGTGCCGGGAGGGGGGGGGGGGCAGAGTTGTTTCACAGGGTTGAGATGGGAGACTAAACTAAACTCCCCACCACCACCACCGCCAAGGGGAGGCAGTCCAGAGGGCGGGGTGGGGGGGAATGGGGCGGGAGTGAGTTCCAGGGAGAGGGATCAGCCAGCACAACATCCCGGAACATCCCTGAACAAACAAACTCTGCGCGCTCGACCAAGGAAAGAGGGCCAGCATAGCTTGGGCTTCCTTGACGAGAGAAGAATGGAGGGAGACACTGTGGAAAATCGGACAGGGCCCCGATCGTGCAGCTTTTGCCACAATCACCTTGGCAAAGCCTTGCAGTGACATGATCCAGTGTGCCAAGCAAGGTGGCACTGCTTTGGGGAACAGGAAGGATGGAGGAGCAGCGTTGGGGAGGGCGGAAGCTGGTTGTCAAGGAAGATTCGACAGCAAGGGTCTAGACAACAGTACAGAGAGAGGAGCGTCATACACCCAGCCAGAGAATATGCCAGGGTGGTCTTCAAAATTTAGAACGGGCTCTCAGCTCTCACTTCCTAAGCTGAATTTCCTTGAGAGGACTTTTACTGCACAGCTATTTTGTGCTTTTAGTAAGAGTCATGGGTGGGGTGATAGGTATGACTGGCCTTGTGTCTCGAGTTAACTGTGCCTGTGAGAGAACAGCTATGGTGTGTCATATCCTATTTTATTATTCCACGGACACAGGAAACTAAAGAAACGCTTTTCTTTATTTCTAGAGTATTTTAGTATAGGTGCTGCCAAAGCGAACACATCTTTATTTCTAGAGTATTTTATACCCCAGTGACACTTGATAATTTTTTCCAGAGCTCTCTTAAATCATGACCTTTTAAGGGCTATGAGGGGAGTGGTGCCCTGGGGCCTTCCTCTGGGCCTGAGGCATGAGCCCCGAGGGTTCTAGGAAGGTTCTAAGTGAGCAGGTGGGCAAACCCTGCCCGTGTCTTTGGAAGCTGCTGGCCACCAGAGGAGACCTTCCTTCCTTTCGGCTACACCACAGGCTGCTCACAAGACAGGGGGAGGGGCTCCTGGCCCTGTGTCTATTGGGTCCCAAAGCTGCAGCCTTCCAGAAGCACAGGGCAGAGGCAGATGATGCTTCCTGCCCATCCTTGGGGCCTTTGAGAAACGAACTGTCTACATGATGATGAAGCACTCTGTGAGCCCAAATTAGAAACTGCATTCCTGTCGTTCTCCAGCTCAAACCTAAGCTGCTCATGCAGATTCCTGCATGCTTCGATGTGGGAGACAAACCTTTATTACCCGCCAGTTCTCACTAGAGAAGAAGGCAGTCACCCTGGCAAGATAGCCGTTGTTTGTTGCCCCTGCCCTGACCCTGTGGACAGTCTGAATGTTATTGCAAGAAACCCACCTGCTGTGGGGATTGTATAGAATCGCTGTTCATCTTTCTTAATATCTGCATGTAAAATGAAGTGTCCAGGGCCGATGAATTCTTCCCCTTGGCAATGGACCTTGGGATGGTCCCAGAGAAACCAAGCTTTGTCAGGGCAAGAACTCACCTTGATAACCATCATTCCTCACTTGAAATCTTGCTCTCTTTGCTAATACTTTTTGTTTCCTTCTCACTTTCAGCTCAAAACACTGGAATTTCAACTTTGTATAGGAATTCATATGGTGCGCCCACCGAAGACATCAAACACAACCAGGTAAAGGAGATGCCCGCATTTGTATTCATTTTCCCCTTCAATTTATGTGAAAGAGCCTGGAATTGTAAAATAATAAATTAGCTTCTGCGTAACATACATAAAGGACCGAAAAAAGAAAATCGCCTTTCCTCCACTCACATTTCACATACCATACGTGGGGTGACCACGGTCACCAGAACAGCCTCAAATTTGAAAACAAACTTTGATTTCACTACAGCCACCTGCTCGGGGTAGAAAGCAAGTTCTCGGCTGTGACCCACAACCAAAAGGCTCAAATACACAAGTGGACACAGTGTGTAATTACTAGACAGGGATTAGGTGGCTCCTGTAACCCAGCCAGTTCTCACATACAGCTCGTTATACATGATGGTTTCCAATAAAATAAAGACAACAAGTGCAATAATGGACAATGAAATAACCTGCGTCGAGGAATGCCTCGCTATTCAGTCTAGTTGGGGAACCAGCAGCCTCAGCACGGCCCGGGAGCTTGTCAGAAAGGCAGAAGAGATTCTTGTCTGACCCCTGCCCCTAATCCATCCAGTGCAACAAATGCATCAGAGCTGCCTTTTTTCGAGGCGTTTAGGTGATGCGTGTGCGTGTCCAAGTTTGAGGAATGCTAGCCGTAGCTCCGTCCAGAAGTGCTCTTAAGTTTGTGAGTGTTTGTCTTATTTGGCAAATATTCACTGAAGGCTCGTGTTCCCTGTGCTTCTGTGGGAGCTATCAAAGCAAAAGGCACAGCCTTTGCTCCTCCATTGACTGACAGCTTCATACATTTGGCCCCTGGAGTGGTCATGACAGAAAGACGGCTGTTCCTCATCACTGTTGGCCACTGATAACCACTGCTAGAGCTGGCTTCTGCTGACGCTCGGGATTCCTGCCACAGGTCAGGGAAGTTGGGCTGAAAGATAAATCTGAAAGCTGTTTGTTTGATCGCAATAACCAGATGACATGGAAGTTAGATGTGCTGTGTTTAAGCATTTCTCAACACCCTGTGGGGCAGCATCTTTGAAAAGGAAAGGGACTCCCTTCTAGCAGATAGAATATCTTGTGCAGGGCCGTTTCCAAAAGGAGGAGGACACGAAAAGTATCTCCTCGACCTTAAATTACCTTTTCCTCTAATCACCCATCAGCAGGAGAAATGGTGGTGGGTAGAGGAGTTATCCCTTTGCCCTCAATGTTCCAGTCCATGCGGAGCCATTCTGGAAGACAGCTGGTGTGGTTCACAAACCCCCGGTGAATGCCCAGGCCCCACGGCCCGCCTGACACGTTGGTAACATCTACTTGGCCTCCCTCAGCTCCGGTCTTTGCTAAAAGCAAAGAGGTCAATGAATAAATAAATAGGTGCATGAGCACTAGACAAGAGAGCACCGGGGGCGGCCACCAGCCGTCCGCGTGTCAACGTGCCTGCGGGAACACAAAGGAAAATGGAAGCAAAATGTATTGGAAATGCCAACTTCAGTCACGGAAAACAACTTTTATATTTTCGCAAATATCAGGTACAGTGAGAGAATTGGTTGTAGCTCTTAATGATACTTGTCAGGATGTGATAGGACCCTGACTTTGCATCCAAGAGTATAGGAATTGTCTTTAGTTTCCTCAGGTTAGGAGAAGCTCATCACAAGAATGGAACATATTCTACACCAGTATTTCTTTCCATGGGATTCCACTAGCGCTGGCAGCGAAGAAATGTCCTGGTGTGGCCCAGAGGTCCTTGGCATCTTACAATGTGGCTGCAGTAGTTTCCTAGCACTGCTTGCAACCTAGATATACAGGAAAGTCCACAGTGGCTCTATGGGCAATTCTTTTCTCCAGAGCCTATTCTGAACAATGAAGCCAATTGGAATTAATGTGCTAGGATGGCATCACTGCCTGGAGGGAGGGCGTGACATAATGTAACCTTTTTCCCAGCATGCCCCAGAACATACTCAGCCTCAGCGCGAATTGTCAAGGCCATGGTGCCCCCGGCGAATGCTGGGAAACCCAGCTGGAATGGAGTGCGAGCTCTGCAGCATTTGGCAACACAGGGGAGATGCTGTAGACAGGCCACTGGTTGAGCTGAGTCCCACAGTAGCACCTGGTGTCATCAGCTCAGTGCCATCATTAGTCCCTGAGAAGGTCCAGCAAAGGGAAGTAGATGATGAGACTCTTAACCCCATTCTAAGATCAAGCAGCAATTAAAAATGTCCACCAAAAAGAATGGTTTTTCCCCCCAAAATTTCCAAGGTAAATCATTATGACACTCCAGGAAACTCCAGTGTTACTGGAATAAACTTGGGCTCTGTTTTGAGGTATGACCATCCTACCCATTCAAAAGAAGAGGGGACTTGGTTCTCTTCCAGTTGGGTAGTTCTAGAGACAACCTTGTACCGAGCCTCCATAATTTGGATTTTCTGGCCACGTGGACATGGCTAGTCATTCCAGATGGATGGAATGCTTTCATTTTTGGAATTTTCCTGAGTTGAGAGTGACCTCACAACCTCACAGGTAATAAAAGACCAGCTTGAACAATTTAACCAGGAGGAATATGCCAGAGTCCGTTCCATTTCAGTGCTGACGCTTGTCCTCTGCTGAGCACTCTAGTCTCCTAGGTGTCTCAGTCGTCCGCCAGGCCTCATGAACTTCACAGAGGCTGGACAGTGACTCATCTCCAAGAAGAAGCAATTCACTGAGGGAAACTGGTTTGAGGTAGGTCTCCAAGAGGAGTCAATGACAATAAGAGCTGGGAATGTGGCCCCAGCTCCAAATGCATGGGCAGGCGAGTCAGGGTCCAGGGCAATGGCCATAAGCCAGGCTTTCCATGACTCAGTGGAAAGGGAGCCAAGCAGCTGCTCAGCTGTGGCTCTCCCATGAGACCACCTGGAATTCCAGTATCATTTTCACTGAGTTCCAAGCCTTACGACTCCTAGAAGAAATAGCCATTAGTCTGAAATAACATCTGTGGTCCTTGGTTTTTATATCTCCAATCAACTGGTTGCAGACATCATTTTAAGAATTAACTACTTAGGGGCGCCTGGGTGGCACAGTCGGTTGAGCGTCTGACTTCAGCCAGGTCACGATCTCGCGGTCCGTAAGTTCGAGCCCCGCGTCGGGCTCTGGGCTGATGGCTCAGAGCCTGGAGCCTGTTTCCGATTCTGTGTCTCCCTCTCTCTCTGCCCCTCCCCCGTTCATGCTCTGTCTCTCTCTGTCCCAAAAATAAATAAACGTTGAAAAAAAAAATTTTTTTTAAAGAATTAACTACTTAAACTCCCCCAAATTGTTATTGAGCTTCTACTAGTCTATCACATACTGATAAAGAAAAATATCACATTCAACTGCATATATATAGCTAGCAACAGAATTTTTTGTTCCTAAACTAGAGACAAAGGGGTTTGGTGTTTTGATGACCACCATTAAAATGATTACCGTCGACATCAAAACAGCATCTTGAGGTCCTGGTTGGTGTCCTCAGTTTCACTGGCAGGTGGGAAGAGCAGGTGAAATTGTCCTCAGAGATTCAAGGAGAGTAAGGGTTTGCTTTTGGTCACCCAGCTCAGAAAAGGAAAAGACTCCAACCTGGTTCATCTGCCTTCTTGTCCCATCTGGTCTCCTCTCTACCAGTGGTTCTCAAATTTGAGCATGAGCCAGAATCCCCTGAACAACTTACTAAATACACATCAGTGGCCCCCCACAACCCCAGAGTTTATGACTTGGTGGGTAATCTGCATCTCTAACAAGCTCCAAGTGATGTTGATGCAGTTGAACCAGACTTTGAGAACCGTGAATCCTTATCACATGACCTCTTTCATTGTATATTATCACCCTGAGTCTTCAGCTTTTGCCGTGTGGTCAAGTTTGAAGATCTGTAATGGGCAGCTATTTCCCTTGTGTTAGAAAGAAATACAGGTTGTAGGCAAACTCGGTGAGGAATCAACCAAGTTTTCCTCACTATGCTAACAGAACTGGGGGGTAGAGAACTGGCACTATCCTTCATAATTTAAACTCAGCATTCTCCTATTGAGGAAAAGGTTCAACAAAGGTGTCTTTATGGGAGCAGGAGCCACAGGACAGAGCCCAGTCTCCCCATGTGAGCCAGCTGGTTGCACCTCCCCTTCCCAGAAAGGACGCTGCCTTAAGGCAAAAGCAGACAGCCTCAGGCTCCTTGGTTGTGCCACGGTCTCACTGAGCCGCAACAGACACTCAAGTTCAGAATATGCCACTATTGTATATGAACATCATTCTACTTCCTTCATAGAAGTCTGCTTTATGCAAACAGTACAATGTAAAAAAAATGCATTTATTTTTAGTTCCTCTATGGGGAAGGCTTATATTCGGGAGCTCAAAATACGTCCAATTTTGAGCTCTGTCAGATTATCCCTTAGAGTAAGTTATAAAATAGAGCCAACATTCCTCCACTGTGAATGTGCATCCACAGTCAACATCTGCACGACCAGGCCAATGAGCAAATTTAATCCCTCCAAACACAGCAGTGCCACCTGTCACCCATCCTGGATAGTTCATTTACACACACTCTCAGAACCACAGAACTAACTCTTAAAAGGGGTTGACAAGAGACTTTATGACCAATACAGATGAATTAAAGAGGGCAAGTCCTCAAGGTAAGAGACTAAGATAAACGTGCCCGACCTAAAAACGTCCACCAACCAGAGAGAACATGGCAACAGTAAGAAGTTTGAAACAGGTTGTGCAAAAGCCTGAAAGAAGCAGCCACTGTGGAGAGCCATAAGCCTGTGAGTGATTTCCCCTGCAGATCTCCCCATCTCTGGCCAATAAGACTGACACAAAGAAGTGAGACCTTTTCCAAGGTTACTTTTGTCCACTAGCCTCCCTTCTTATTATAGAGCCTTGGGTCAACACAGTGAGGCTGGCCCTCAAGCCTGACCGGTTTGGCTGAACCGAAACTGTGTTTGTGTGGTGGAGAGAATGTGGACTTCTGACTCAGCCAGACATGGATTCACAGTCCAATCTCACACCACCACTAGCCATGACATCTTAGAGGAGTTTCTTAATTTCTCTGAGCTTCAGTATCTTCATCTATAAAGTGGGAATTGGATGGATGGATGGATTGATCCCAATAGGGAAGGAGAGATACATGATGAGATAGATAGAGACATATACATACATATATATACACGTTTCTGTTATTAAAGGTTAAACAAAGAGGAATTTGTTAAATGTTGGGTATAGCGCCCACTGACATAAAAGCACAGTAAACTCTAGCCCCCTCCCCGTGTGATTTTCCTAGATCTTCCAGCTCCTACCCTTCGTATGCTCGATGCTTAGTAGCAGCACAGTGCTAGAGCACAGAAGTTCAGCATAGCACACAGCTCTTCAAAGGATAGCAAAGAGCGCCTCAGCCCAGCCACGTAATTTGGTGGACCTGGCCTTGTTTAATTGCAGATGATGAATTCCAAACATCCCTCTCATGGCCAGGCTCTTAGGCTAACATGTTTCACAGGTAGCCCAAAACCTCACTCATCAGCACCACTAACGAGAAGTGTGGGACATAGTGGATGGCAGCTATGATGAAGAACAGGTCAATTACTAGTGTAAATCAATTACATGTAAAAGAGGGAGGTTCACTTACTTGAGAGAAGAATTGTGTGCAGGTCATTAGAAGCATTCGTTTACACACAACGTGCTGATTACAAGTCATTATTAACGAGGACCAATTTCTATAGGATGTTGCCATGCTGAGCTTTAGTTAAATTAATAGGGAATTACTGAATCTGCTTGGAGGTGATCATACTGTGTTTCTTTAGAAGTGTTCTATCATTCACACCAGACCTTCTTCCCAGTGACTGCACATGAGCAGAGCTTCACAAGTGACTGTGTGCCCTAGCTGCGGGGACGTTCCGCTCATTTCGGGTGCATAGTGCTAGAAAAGGGACCCCAGAGGCAGTCAGAAGGGAAGAGGAGAGCCAGACCTCCACATACAGGTGTTAATTACCAGCCCATGAACAGTCTTGGTCTTACTGTCCTTAAAACTAAACAGGTGGAACTAGTTCTTGACTTTACATATCTCAGAGGCTCATGTGACCCCTCTAAATTTTCAAAGCCTCCTACATCAGACAGTAACTTGCAAAGGACAAGAGGGCAAAGAGCACGGAGGTGGGCTGAAGGGATACGAGACAGTACTGAAACCTCTCCTCCTCAACTAAAAGCTTCATAACCCCACATCATTCTCAAGTTCAATAAATTCTTACGGAAACCAAGTTGGGGAATATTTTCATCCTCCTGAATACGTTATATTTGGAGTGGATTTCCTGTTTTCAGTACATGCTTGTCTGTGCAACCTTCTGATCACTTAGACAGGTGTGATGGAATGACCCTACCAGTGGGAAGCCTCCGTCCTCCAGAGGGGTATTGATCACAGCCCAACTGCGCGGGTGGAAAGATACCCAAGTGACCATTAGACCTCATACATCTTCACCGTCTCTTTCTCTGGGATTGCAACAACCAATTGTAATGGGAAAAAAATGCAGAAGAGAGGAAGATCAACTAGTTGTGTTCTATAGCGTCTAGTCTATGCGTCTTTAATTTAAAAGGTTATCTACTAAAATGTTCAGCTGTTGTGGCAGTTTGGCAATTCCTTGAAGAGTTACACCTCAAATTATCAAAAGATCCAGCAATGCCACTTCTAGGTCCATACCCTGAAAATTGAAAGCAGAGACTCAAACAGGTACTGGTGTGCCCACATTCATTATAGCATTATTCACAATAGCCAAAAGGAGCAAACAACCCAAGTGGCCATCAACAGATGAATGGATAAACAAAAAAAATACGCATACAATAGCATATTGTTCAGCCTTAAAAAGGAAATCCTGTCCCATGCTACAATACGGATGGCCTTTGAGGACATTACGCTAGATGAAAGAAGCCAGACAGAAAAGGACAAATATAATATGATTAGACTTACATGAGGTGTCTAGAAGAGTGAAATTCAGAGAGACAGAAAGTAGAATGGGCTGCCGTGGGCTGGGGCAAGGAGGAAAATGGTGCGTTATGCTCAACGGGTCCAGAATTTCTGTTTGAGGTGATGAAAAAGTTCCGGAAATGGGGTACCTGGTTGGCTCAGTCGGTTACGTGTCCGACTCTTGATTTTGGCTCAAGTTGTGATCTCACAGTTCGTGAGTTCAAGCCCTGATGACAGTGTGGTGCCTGCTTAGGATCCTGTCTCTCCCCCTCTCTCTGCCCCCCCTCCATTCTTTCTCTTTCTGAAAATAAATAAATAAACTTTTAAAAAACGCTCTGGAAATGGATAGTGGTGATGGCCGCACAATGCCATGAATATACTTAATGCCACTGAAGTATACATTTACAAGTGGTTAAGATGGCAAATTATATGTTAACGTATGTTTTACTACAATCATAATCTTTTAAAAAGATTATGTAGAATGCTAGTGCATGGACCCAGGCACCAGCTTATAAAAGGAAGGGCGATCAGAAGTTGGCAGTGTCTGGAGAAGAGCCATGGTGGTCGATCGGGAGGGTGGGGGGCACGGCCCAGCCCTTAACATGGAAGGCTTGAGTGCCTGGCCGTGGGGGGGTTGCATCAAGGGAAAGCGAACCAGCCCAGGTGGATCTTCTTTTCTGTGCAGGTTCCAGCACAGCCAGTCCCACAGGAGCCCAGCAGGAAAGACTACGAGACCTACCAGCCGTTTCAGAATTCCACGAGAAACTACGACGAGTCCTTCTTCGAGGACCAGGTCCACCATCGCCCTCCCGCCAGTGAGTACACCATGCACCTGGGACTCAAGTCCACCGGCAACTATGTCGACTTCTACTCAGCTGCCCGTCCCTACAGTGAACTGAACTATGAAACTAGCCACTACCCGGCCTCTCCCGACTCCTGGGTGTGAGGAGCGGGCGGCACGAGGCGCTCCGGGAACAGTGCATGTGCATGCATACCACAAGACATTGCTTTTTTTTCCCCCTGCAAATTTAGTTTGTTCAAGCCTGTTCCGTAGGAAGGCTGTGATAACCAGTAAGGAAATATTAAGAGCTATTTTAGAAAGCTAAATGAATCGAAAGTTAACTTGGAAGTCAATAGGAAGCTAAAACGATCCTAAATATGACATCGTGCAACACCTTTCTAGTTTGAGCTGTAGAGTATAAAAAGTGCTTTATATTGAACGTGGCTGAAGGCAGCAGAGGAGACGGTCGGGGTGGTGGGGCGTGAAGGTTGCAGTTAAGCACAAGGGACAGTGTAGTTCACACACTTTAGAGGGACGGCTTCTCACGCTTTGTTTACTCTCTTCATCCGTTGTGATTCTAGGCTTCAAGTTGCATTGGGGTTCCTCTGTACAGCAAGATGTTTCTTGCCTTTTGTTAATGCATTGTTGTAAAGTATTTGATGTACATTACAGATTAAAGAAGAGAAGCGCATTGTGTATATTACACCATGCCGTGTTTCCTCATCTATGGTTCTAAATATTGCTTCAATTTCAAACTTTTGAAAGATGTATGGATTTCCAGTTTTTCTTTTCTTTTCTTTCTCCCAGTATGTTTTAACAAAAAAAAAAATGGGAAAAAAAGGAATATTTAGCAGTATTGTTCGTTCTGATATGTGAATTTGTTTGTGGCAAGTAAGCAAGGCATTCAGCAGTTTCTGACAATTAACATACATCATTCCACACTCCTTGTCAACAAAGTGCTTTTTCACTGCCTAAAATTTTAGATGTAGATATTTGAAATAGATTTTTTCATTTATACCAGTTTTCTTTATGATGATACAGTGTTAAAAGAAAATAAATTACAATTGATCTGTCATCCATATTTGCTAAGAATGTCTATTTCCAAGGACCCTATCTTACAAAATACACATTCTTGCCTGTGTGTCTGTGCGTGTGTGGGTGTGTGTATGTCCACGTATGTATAAAAATGACCTGTGTGAGATTTTATTTTGATAGAAGCTACTTCATTCGCTGTTCATCTTGTACAAGCTTTGTTTCTGGTTTTCGGTATAAATGTACATCACTTTGTTCTTCTCGTACTCCATCTATTCTTCTGACCATCTAGTGACTCAGGATATTAGGCCAGTTGAAGTGAAGTTATAGGATTTTCACACATTCACACATTCTTGGACACCACCTCTTTCTACAGGTCCATTTCCTTCCACGTTTTATGCCCTGGGAACACAATAAACCATGGCCAACTCAATAATTTCACTTTGGGGCCAATTACTTGAAGTATCAAGAAATGTAAACTGCTCGCCTTATTACCCCCAAACTTTCTGTTCATGTGGCAGGGAGCAGTGGACCATTATGGATTAGATTATTAAAATTGAACTTGAAGCCAATGTTAGAATAGTGGTTAACAGAGCTAAGAAATAAGGCTAACCATTTACAAGAACACGGGCTGTGGGTAAATCAGCTTTGCTCTTAGATGCAAGTGACTGAGGCCAGTAGGTGCCTAGTAAATGTTAACTGTTCTTGGAAAAAATAAAAATTAAATAACAAAAGAAATTGGCTGACCATCTTCCTTTAAAACTTGCTCCCCTTCACTCTACATAGTTGAATTCAGCGCAAAGTCCAAGATCAGTGGTTCCTTCTCCAAATTTAGCAACAATCAAAAAACTTTTTTTGTTCAGGTGTATTTTTGCAAATGAAAAGCTGATTTCCAAAATAGAGCAGGAGACACAAATTTGCTTTTGAACTGTCCTGTAAATTACCTGCAAGTTGGACCCTGTTGCACTGTTTATTCTAGGACTGGATTCGACATTGGTGGGTTCCCTCACAGGAATGCTCCAGCCCCCGTGGAGAGACAGAAAATTAGCACTGAGTACAACGTGTCCTCCTCATCCGTGAACTAGTGAAGTTCATCGAGGCAGAGGTTATGGCATAGACATGACTTATCCATAACCTAGTAGCTGGTTTAACTTTTCCAAAAGTGAATGATAGGACTCATTCCTGGCTTGAGTTGTGCATGGAGAAATGACTGCATGTGCTGAAAAGCCCTCCTAGTGGGAACTGTATATTTTCCTTTATACTCTTTGAGTCCGAGAATTCCCTGCATTTGCGACCTGGGAAGACTAAAGATGCCTCTGCTGCCCGTGATTCTTTGACAGCATGTGGTGCCAGGCTGAAATGAACCAATTCAGAGGTAGAGGTAGGAAAAAGAAAATTAGAAGTGGTGTAGTTACTCAAACCAATCCTGTTCTCCTTTTCATACACACACACACACACACAGAAGTAAATAAGGAGACAGTAAGAAATGATTGATAGATAAATAGAAGATGATGTAGATAGGTGGTGATGATTGATAGATAATAGATAGATGATAGATAGATAGATAGACGATGGATACTAGATAGATAGGTAGATGAGTAGGTAGATAATAGATAGGTGAGATTTTACATAAACTGAAATAACCTAAAGTCCCCACAGGCTCCCTTGGCAACAAACATTGATCAGCTGGTAATTTATTATTAAATTGGATAATATTGGGTAAAAGCCCCAAATGGCAAGAAACTTTAGTTTGTTTTTGCTTTCATTGTACTGAAGTGATCAAGTGTGATACTAACCCCCACCCAAGTCCCCGCAGATAGTTGCCTCTTGGGTCTATAAGAACCTCCAGATGTCAGATTATTTACTGAGATGGGAATGGTGTTTTTCAGAGCAAAGGAGGGAGGAAAGGAAACTAGAATTTTTTTTCCTCTCAGTCCTTGTAGTGGACCATACATACGCCCAGTACATTTAACAGTTTGTAAAATCTGGACATTATGTATGAGAAAGAGACTTAGTTTTTCTTCACCTGAGAGTTTTGATCACCAAGGACTGATTAAAGGGACACTTAAAACTATACCCCCTTAGGGGCGCCTGGGTGGCGCAGTCGGTTAAGCGGCCGACTTCAGCCAGGTCACAATCTCGCGGTCCGTGAGTTCGAGCCCCGCGTCGGGCTCTGGGCTGATGGCTCAGAGCCTGGAGCCTGTTTCTGATTCTGTGTCTCCCTCTCTCTCTGCCCCTCCCCCGTTCATGCTCTGTCTCTCTCTGTCCCAAAAAAATAAACATTAAAAAAAAATTAAAAAAAAAAAAACTATACCCCCTTCAATGAAATTAATATTTTAAAATAAGATCTTTCATATTGACTCAGGTTTAATAGCACACATTTACGTTTTAATCCAAATGATCAGTTGTGAGTTAGATGAGAAAATACCTAAGAGGTTCATAAGAATTAGGGTGACACAGATATCACATCACACTTGGTGCAGACTAGGTGAAGGTTAACCACTGATGACCCATTTCATATAAGCAAGACACACATTATGAAAACCTTCTATTAAAAAAAATAAGCAGTGTTTAAATTCAGTAGCAAAACCAATCTCAATTTATTTGCTTTGCTCATTTCTCTGACTTCAGCTCTGCTGTAGGCTTGATACTGTCCCCCCCTCCTTGAGAACTGTACCCTTGGAAAGTGAGGTTTGGCTGTCTGAAGACACTATTTTGTCCGCCTTCGAGAACCAATTTCCTTCTTGCCTGGTGATTCTGTCCCTCCAGAGAGAAAGTGGCACCTCTCAGGTCAGGATCTTCATGAAAGTGCACTGGCCTCCATTCCTTGGAGAGAGCTTGTTGGAAGAACTTAAACACATCACCTCCTCTCTGGGCGAAATGTTGTTTTGTAACCCACAGAGTTAAATAAAAAGAAGGATCTGGGAGTGGGGGGACAATCCTTGGCCATACAAAGTTGAGAGACAAAGACCTCCAGTTCCTTACAAGTGACAACACTCCCAAGCCATGAGCCTGTGTTCTTCAAACCAGAGAACTGGTACGAGTGCCCAGTTCAGGACTGGCAAGGCAGGCACGTGACCTCCGTGTCTTCACCAGTTCAATAGTAAACAACCGGGCTGCACCTATGGTCTCCTCAAACACAAAGAATGAAGTAGTTAAAAAAAAAAAAAGCAAGCAAGCAAGCCAACCAACCAACATTTCTGAGCGCACTAGATAATGGTGAAACTTGGGTTTTGAGTCAAGGGTTTGATCCTCAGTTAAGACAATGGAATTCTTGGCATGAACTTCAACAGTGGCTACATTAGCATCACACATTTAAAATTTTTCACAATATTTCATTGCTTGGTTCCTCAATAAAATGAAGACAAAAGCTTTGATGAATCAGCACCTGGTACTCTGTACTACAATGTACATGCAAAACTGACACATCATCTCAGGTGGTGCTGACACCCATCATGAGAGATAACAGAACATACACATAATACTCTAGAGTGTCTTCACTAATGCACCATTGATGTTTGGTGCTGAATAATTCTTTGGATAAATAGGGGAGATGCAGCATAGGATACTTAACAGTGTCTCTGGCCTTTACCCACTGGATACTCACTGGATGCACCACCACCTGCAGTTGTGACCATCATAACAGCCTCCAGATATTTCCAAATCTCCCCTGGGGCAGGGCTACATCAGCCCCAGTCAGAACCACTGCTCTGGTGCAATGCACAACGTCCTAACTACAACTGAGCATAAGGAAGGAAAAAGATGCACTCCCAGGTGGGCAATCTGAGAACACAATGCAGAGGAGATGGTATTGGGCTGGAACTTAAAGGACGGATAGGCTTCTGATGAGCAATATTGGAGATGTTTCTGGAAAAAATGCGAGTGAAGATGTGGAAAGTATGGGGAATGGACAGGGAACAGAATGCAACAAAATTAATTCTAAAATGAGGAACGGGAAGAGCAGGGAGAGAGAGACAAGGCAGGCTGTGAACAAACTTGAGACTCCTGAAAGCCATTTTATAGAACACTAAAGATTTTTCATAGCATTTTACAAAAATTCGGCGGGGGGGGGGGCGGGGGGAGGTGTGGTGGTTGTACAGGTAAGGTATAGATTAGTGGTTCTCCAACCATGC